ATAAACACTACATATGTTTATCTACATCAGCATAAATTAAAGGCACCAAATATTACCATAATGTTTATTTTTTATTATACAATTTAAATAATAAAAATACTGTAATATTTTTGCATTAAATTAATGGGTATTTGGGGATAAAATGTGCTTAATTATAATAAATAACAAGAAAATGTCAAATGCAAAAAAAATAAAAATAAAATAAAATAAAATTATATATATATATATATATATATATATATATCGCAATGGTTGCAATGGTTTTAAAAACAGGATTCAACAGGAATCGAGAAATGATTATGCATCGATTCTGAGATTTTCCGAATGCATCGTGATTGTCTCTCGAATCGATTCTGAGCTTAGTTTGTAACAGCAGATGGCGCTGCGTGCGTTAGAAATAGCCGTATTCTGCTTGCTTCCAGTTCCTTAAACACGCATCATTTAAACCTAAAATAATCATTCATAAAGTTCGAAAAGGTTAAAGCGAATTACAAGGATGTTCACAGTGGGCTGTGTTTATATTAATCTCGCATCATAAAAGCCGACGTGCAAGTACATTTAACCACTTACATGACTCAGCCGAACGCACAAGCGCCCTTCTTCGTGAGCATTTGAGTGTGCGGTTAAAAACTAGCCTAGAGCGCCATATGCTGTTAAAAACTAAGCTCAGAATCGATTCCAGAAAGAATCACGATGCATTCCGAAAATCTCAGAATTGATCCACGAATCGCGACGCATCAATTTATTGTCCTAGCCCTATCTAGCGGACACTATACCAACAAAGCACAATTTAACTTAAAAGTTAGTAAAATAATATTCTTTTGGCCATTTTTGAGACCCCCTTCTTGAATCAGTTATGTACTTTTTACTGTACAAATAAATGCAGCCTTGCTGAGCAGAAGGAAATATTGCAGATCCCAATTTGAACACTATGTGTGAGTGTTATAAATGTATTAATAGAGCTGTTGTGATTATTATTATCGTCTTACGTTTCTTATTTTATTTTAATGCATAAAAATGTAACCGAGCAGCTGTAGAGTAACATGGTTTCAGCGCAGACTTTCCTTGCGCTTTGGACTAACGAGTTCGTGCAGCGCTGTCAGAATACATGCAATTCGTGCGTGTATTAGAAAACAATGTTCTGCAGTTTATTTACTAATTTGAGTTCATTTCGTGATTTCAATCATCATACAGTAACCAGCAACATCCACCCCGTCCTCTTCTCATCGAAGACATGCGATGCAGTACAAAACAGTCTCTCGCTGTCGGTGCTTGCAATGATTTTTGCGTCTTTCTCCGACACTTTTAAATGCTTCCACACTGACAACTAGGGCTGGGTATCGTTAGAAAAACCCTCATACTTACATAACAATAGCAGTCTATTTATTTAGTGGTCCAAGCTGAAGTCAGTATGTATATTAATGACAATATGGGACAAATATAATGTAATTTAGTGGCGGAAGCTGCCGGTACGTGTACAGTGAGACAAAACAAAGTGCACAGTTATCAAAGACGCGGGTGCGCGTACAGTCGTGGAAAACAGTGTGTTCGGCAGTTAAAGACGCGGCACACCAGAACCGTTTTCGGAACCGAAACTTAGAAATAGCTCACGGTTCCGGTCGTTTTCGGAACAGAAACTTAGAAATAGCTCACGGTTCCGGTTCTTTTCAAAAAACAGAACGGTTCTCGGCTCCCAACCCTACTGACAACATGTTTGCTGCATTAGTGCACGCCTCTATTTGATCGCGTCACATCAATGTTCCGCACAATTTCAGCCTTTTCGCTTATTCAATTTCAGCTGCCGAACATTCTGTGCATCCCTAATATCTCAAGACTAGTGCGTTCCTTTGAGGGGGATTTCTAGGAAAAACAAAAGCCGTTTATCTGATTTGACTGCAGACGGAGGCTCGTTCCTGACGGATGAGGAGTAACTCACCATTCACACGGCTGCAGGGACCGGAAGGCATGCAGCGCCGCATCCATCCCGGCGAAATCCCAAAACTTCACGTCGTAGTCGTAGCCGCCGGTGACCAGACGAGCGCCAGACGGATCCAGAGCCAAAGCTGAGACCTGAACAAGCAGAGACCATCAGAAATTAGCTTCATTAGATGCTCTCTTGGGGCTTAAAAGACAATTAATACTCAGCAATATTATCGAGAACAACATCTGGATCGAACTGAGCTGAATAATCACACTGTTGTCTTCTGTGCAGCTGCTTTGAAAACTGATCTGAAAGAATTTTTGAATTTGAATTTGTTTTAAATGATTAATTTTGCAAATTTGGCAAACACTTGAAACTATATACGAAGAGTTCGTTTGCAAAGACAGATAACTAATTTTCAAAAATCATGTTTTTTCATTGTGTATTTCAATTGATCTCAATCAAACTGCAGTTGGGCTATTTTGATTAGGTTAAGAAATAACAAAAAAAATACAGATAACTAACACAATAAAACACAATAAAAACATGATAACATCATTAAAAACATGATTTTTGAAAATTTGAAAAAACTGAGTTATCTGTTTTTTCAAATAAACTCTTCATAGACAGAAAATTAATATATAAATCTATAACGTACCATTATTTTTATTGCTATGTATTAATTAAATATTATTAATTCATAAAATAATAAATACTTAATAATATTGCTAATAATAATAATACCAATAATTTGCTTAAATATCAAGAATGTAATGTAAAATGTAAATAATTTGTATTGTATGTGACTTTTGGACAGTATATATAATACCTTATATAATAATTATGTAATTATTTCATTTTTAAAAATAATTATTGTAATTATTATATTATATAAAAATATATATGAACTAAAGAGAAAATTCATATATAAACATGTAATATATTAAAATGTATTCATCCAAAATTAACAATTCACAATGTAAATAATATATTAATTTGAAGAAAGGAATTTTATATATATATATATATATATATATATATATATATAGAGAGAGAGAGAGAGAGATCAAATTGGAAATGT